CGTCAAGCGCCGAGGGCGTGGAACGCCAAATTGGACCACACGCTGGGACGAGCTTGGCTTCTGCCATAGCGAGTCTGAGCATGCGGTCTACGCCAGGGGCAAAGGAGCATCCCGGTTGCTGGTGGGGGTCTACGTAGGTGACCTCATCATCACCGGGAATGACGCCGCCGAGATTGACCACTTCAAGCAGCAGATGAAGAGCAGGTTCAAAATGAGTGATCTCGGTTTGCTGTGCTTTTATTTGGGAATTGAAGTGCAGCAGGGGAGCGATGGCGTCAAGCTCTCCCAGACGGCGTACGCGCACAAGATCCTTGAGCGCGCCGGCATGGGGACCTGCAACCCGTGCCACACCCCGATGGAACCACGACTGAAGCTGTCGAAGTCGAGCACTGCAGAGGCAGTGAATGCCACTGAGTACCGGGGCCTGGTCGGGTGCTTGCGGTACCTGGTGCACACACGCCCGGACATCGCCTTCTCCGTAGGGTACGTAAGTCGCTTCATGGAGAGGCCCACCATCGAACACCTGAGTGCGGTAAAACGCATTCTGTGCTACATCGCCGGAACGATCGACTACGGCTGCTTCTACAAGCGCGGCGGACAAGAGTTGAAGCTGCTGGGGTACAGCGACTCCGACACGGGCGGCGACATCGATACAAGGAAAAGCACCACCGGCGTGCTGTTCTTCCTCGGCTCTTGCCCAGTGACATGGCAGTCACAGAAGCAGAAGGTCGTCGCCTTGTCATCCTGCGAGGCGGAGTACATCGCAGGGACGACAGCTGCCTGTCAGGGCATCTGGTTGGCGCAGCTCCTTGCTGAATTGAAGAGTGAGAAGCGTGCGGCCTTCGTTCTGAAGATGGATAGCCAATCTGCCATTGCCCTCAGTAAGAACCCAGTCTTTCACGATCGAAGCAAGCACATTGATGTTCGATTCCATTTCATTCGAGAGTGCATCGGCGATGGGAAGATGGACATTGAACACGTCCGCATTGAGGAGCAACTCGCTGACATACCGACGAAGCCACTGGCGCGTGATCGTTTCTGCGAACTTCGTGTGCAGTTGGGAGTCGTCAATGTTGGCAAGGAACATCAGGTTTAGGGGGTGAAATGTGAACAGACTATGTAAACCTGTGTTCAGTTCGTTTTGTTTCAGTTAGTCAGTTGAGCTCGGCTTTGGATCAAATCAATCCTCCCGAGCGCGTCCTGTATTCAGGGGCCACAACGTGCGCTTTGACCGCGTTGTGGCCGTTGCCAGCCGCTCGGTGCGCGGCGTGACTTGGTGCGTGGGATGGCGCGCACAACTCGGGTCATGGCGGGCATGGCGCGCATGGCGGAGGGCGAGAATAGCTCGGCCACTCCTTTTCCTTTCCTGCAGTTTACGTTTGGTAGATGCTCAATGTATATAAGTAAGGGCGCCTAATACAGAAAAGCTATCGCGGTTGCGACGGCACCAAAATCAGTGTCCAATTGTGTTCGCGTTGAGTTCAATCGTTGATCGGTTCTTCCCCGTCGGAGCTCCGATCATCGCTGGAGTTCGGTTCCGGCTGTCATCGGCGTCCTGCGCGGCGGACGCCATGGCCGCCGAATGCATGCGCGCGCGTGGACCGCTTCCCTCACCGCTCCTTCTCTCGCTCTCTCCATCGTTCGGTAGTGTACCTGGGCCCTTCAAGCTTTATCAGCCGCCTTCTTGCCGAACCAGCCGACGAGGAGGCCGGGACGGAGCATGTCCGCCACCGCGCTCTCGCTGCCGTCGGCTCTCACCGCGGCCCCGCATCCGAGCAACCTGGGGCTCGAGACCCAATACGCTAGAGTCGACTAGGCGCCCAGGAACCCCAGCATCCTCCTCTCCGGAGACGGTGAACCCACCGCCACCGCCAACTATTTATGTAAAGCCTTTTGCAGTTTGCACCGCTCTGCATGAATCATCACAAAAGGCCAGTGAAGCGCTTCTGCAGACGCTAGCTCCGCTGCCCAAAAGTGAAAGCCGTTCCACCGTCTACATGCCTGCAGTTTAGTTTCATAAAAAAATAAAATAAACTAGTATTGTGTAGTTTAGAACCGAGGGAGTACTTTAGATCGAAAGAAAAAGCATTAACATTAGCTTGGAACAAGCAGGCAAATGAGCGTAGGGCTTGAATAACCTTCCAAAAAGATGTGAATCTTTATAAGACTTTGACGTGTGATGCTAGAAAGAACCAAACCAAAATATAAATTAATAAATAATCTTATTATGACGTACCCACATCAAGAACCACACAAACGGGCCCACGTGTCAACGGCTCATGTTAACCCCGCCACTTTATCCCCTCCCACTGGCTGGCCTCGCGCCCCCTCCACATCACAACGCCAGCTGCTCCCGCTCCGTTGCCTCATTGCCTGACCGTGGCCGTGGCCGCCGCCTCCCTCCCGCTCCTCCGGCTCGCGGGAACCATGGCCAACTCCTGCCTCTCCACCGCCGCAGCGCACTCGGCGCTGCGCCTCCTGGCCGACGCCGCCGGGGCGCAGCTCCAGCTGCAGCTACAGCTCCATCACGCGTCGTCATCAGTGTTCCCGCGCCCGGCGCGCGCGCACCACCAGCTCGTCGCCGACCACGTCGCCGCTCCCGCGGTACCCGTGCCGCATCGGAGGCGCGCGCTCGCGGTCACCGCGACGTCGTCGCGGGAGGAGGCCGCGACCACGGCTGTCGAGGAGGAGCTGGAGGAGGTCGCGGAGCGAGAGCGACAGTTGCAGGAGCAAGACGAAGTGCAGGAGGAAGGTGGAGCCGTCGAGGCTAGCTCGGACGACAGCGGCCCGTCGGTGGCCGCGAGTACCACCACCAAGCTCTACTTCGGCAACCTGCCGTACAACTGCGACAGCGCGCAGCTTGCCGGCATTGTGCAGGAGTACGCCAGCCCGGAGATGATCGAGGTACGTGCAGTGTTCGCTCAAACACGGAAATGAACAATCTTTGCTTGTGCATATCAATCGGCTGTCCAGTTATTGCAGTCAAATTTCTTCAGAATTATCCTTTCGTTTGTCCCAGGAAATTTCCTACCTTTAGACAATTGTTGCAACTAGAACAAAGATCGATGTATTTGCGACACATTCAAATTGCTCAACATTGGTTAACCTTTACATGTTTAGGTGTTGTACGATCGTATCACGGGAAGAAGCCGAGGGTTCGCCTTCGTGACAATGACCACGGTTCAAGACTGCGAGATGGTCATCAAGAACCTCGACGGCAGCGTAAGTATATACAGTGCTGATGTCGGCCGCACGCATTACCATTACTGCCAGTGCCAGCAGTATTTCCAGCAGAACATCACTCCATTGTGTTTGTTCGTGACGGGTTTCGATCTTCCTCATTTCTCCAATCGACCAGCTGTACGGTGGCCGGACGATGAAGGTGAACTTCGCCGACCGGCCGAAGCCAAAGCTGCCGCTGTACCCGGAGACGGAGCACAAGCTGTTCGTCGGCAACCTGTCGTGGACGGTCACGTCGGAGATGCTCACGGAGGCGTTCGGACGCTGCGGCAACGTGGTCGGTGCGAGGGTGCTCTACGACGGCGAGACCGGCCGCTCCCGGGGCTACGGCTTCGTCTGCTACTCCACCAAGGAGGAGATGGACGAGGCTATTTCCTCGCTCAACGGAATGGTACGTACGAGAGATCTGTGAAGGAAACTTGCACGCGGCTATCTCTGGAAAAAAAATACTTTTTTTTTTTTTACAAATCGTGCTGCCTGATTAAGCACATGGTTCAGATGCACCCACTAATGATGCTACCCAAACACGAAAAGAGGAATGGCTTCAGACAAATGTGTTGTGCTGAAGTATGTTTGCTTACTAGTTACTACAGATAACTGAATGTTTTTATGGCTCACATAGACTTGAAAAGGACTGAATTTTAACTGCTCTTTCTTTCTGCTGATTGAACAACGTTTACTTTGTTCAATGGTGCATTGGATATTGATGAATCTGCAGAATGTGTCGAGCTGAATGCTAATCTGCACAATGCAGGAATTGGAAGGCTGGGAGATCAGGGTCAACTTAGCCCTCGGAAAGAAGTAGCAGAGTTCAGATGGGGAGAAAGTTGCAACTGATATGTGATGGGTGCCTCCTTGCAATGTGCGGTTTGAAATGCAACCAAGATGGCGGCGCTTACTTTTCTGGAGCACGTCGCAGGAGCAGGGAGCAGGAAATGGAAGTCTTTCTAATCTAGAATAGCATGGAAATTTTGTTGCCATCTTGTGTCTATGTAGCAAAGACGGTTCATACATTGTGAATTGTGATTCTGACGGCTTTAGGGTGCTGGTTCCTCTGATCAGTGGAGAACAAATTTGGTTGGATCCATGCACATTTGAAGCTGCTGTTGCTGGAAGAATCGATAGACTCAAGTCTGAAAGCAACAGCGGTATACAATACAAATGATTATCGCAGTTCTGACAGATATACTATCTCTCCATTTAAACCAATGACTAGTCTAGAACTTGAGGTCACCTCTGCATTCAGGGGGAGGTCTGGTTCAAATCAAGGGTAATATAATGTTCAATTCTGTGTTTATAAGTATTAAGTGATGCTATAATCAATTGTACGTGCTAAAAACTAGTCTCTAGGCCCTAAAAGAGGAAAAAAAAATATTTTGCACTTAAAATTTTGAATACCCATCCTTCAAATCCTAGGCCGCCCCTGTCTACGTTGACTGTGTCCGGACTAGAGACAGATTTCTTTCAGTTTCAGCGAACTGTCAAGTAACTGGATGTTCTTTCTAGATAGAAATGAAATGATTTGCAGTCTATTCAAGCTAACAGATTTGATTTCGATGGAATTTAACGGCAGCCATACATAGACAGAGTGAGAGATTTTTGGTCAGGGCACAAAGAGACAAAGAAGGGAGAGCCACATGTGCTGCTGCGTCTGCGTGTGACATGGTCGGATCCCGTTGGCGCCAAGAACCACCACCCACCACATCCTGGACCAGGCAACCTCCGCGCCATTCGCCACTGCCCAGTCTCTGCCACCCACCATGGCCGCCTCCATCGCCGGCAGCAGCATCCGCCTCCACGTTGCCCCGCCCACTCGCCGCCGAGGGAGCGTGGTCACCGCCGCCTCCGCCGCGCGGCTCGACCGGCGCTCGGCGGCCCTGCTCCTGCTCTCCGCGGCGGTTCCAGCGGCATCGGCAGCGACAGCTCCACCGGCGAGCGCCGCGGGCATCGGGCTCTTCGGCATCCGCAAGAAGCTGGAGCGCGCGGAGGAGGCGGCGGTCGAGGCGGTGCGGGAGGTGGAGGAGGCCGTGGAGGAGGCGGCGGCGGAGGCTGCTGCGGTGGGCGGGGAAGCCGTGAAGGAGGCGGTGGCGGAGGCGGAGAAGGAGGCGGGCGAGGTCGCCGGCGACGGCCTGCAGCTGGTGGCCGGCGCGGAGATCGCCGGGGACGGGCTGGTGCAGGCCGCGGTGGTCGCCGGCGCCGAGGCGCTCGGGGTCGTCGTGGGCCTGTCCGTGGTCAATGGCATCCTGAAGCCCGAAGCTTAGAGGATGTGGGTGCTGGGCCTTGTAGCTTTGGCCCAACAAGCGTTTGGGCTTTAGTGCTTCGTTGTCGGTGCTGCTGTAATTTGTTGATGACCTCCTTCTCAAAAATAAAAATAAAAATGTTGATGACCTTTTTGGTGTAACTTAGTAGCAATTAGAGTGTGGATTTGGGCAAATAAAAAAGTCTGTGGATCCTTTGTTTGCTGAATACTGGACAAATTTAGTACATAATCCAAGCTTATGATCATAGAAATGCCTAAAAATCCAATTGCAAACGGTCACATTTTTTTTAACTATCATCGGGGAGATTGAATCCCTACATGAATATGTATTGATATATCGTGGCATAACCACACCAACAGCCTCGTTTTTAAGGGAAAACGAGACAAAACCCTTTTGTCCGGTTAATTTTGAAAAAACGGACTAAAACCAATACAACAGCCCAACACAGAGGCGAGATTGTGGTTTACCCACGAGGAAGAAAAAAACACAACAGCACGCTCTAGCATAAAAAGCGAATGGCCGCGCTTTTGGCTCACAAGTATCGGCAAAACGAGCTTAATTGACGCTCAGAAAAAAAGACAACACACATATCATTTTGTAATCTTGCATTGATGTACTTATTATAAAATCTGCTACAGTACTAAATAAAAATCGATTGGCACATATCCTCTCTTTTAATCGCACTCACCACTAATCGTGCGACTCACTTGTTATACTCTCTTATTTTAGGCTATAAAATGTTTTGACATTTTTAGCTATAATTGCTTTTATTATGTACTCCCTTTGTTTCAAAAAATATATATAATTCTTACTTTTTGAGAAGTCAAATGATTTAAATTTAACCAAAGTTAAAAAAAAATACTAACATTTAAAATACTCCATTCCTCCCAAATAAGTGACCTTTGCAGATTCATAGCTAAAAGGTCACTTATTTTGGAACCAAGGGAGTAGAAGTATCATTATATTTATTATGGAATGTATTTTCATGAAAATCAAAATGTCGTCATTCGAAATGGATGAGTAACATTGAGGGCAGAAGAATCTTTTGTTCATGCATCCTCAACGCCTAGTTTAGTTCGCGGTTAGGAATCAGTATTTGATACTGTAGCACTTTCGTTTGTATTTGATAATTATTGTTCAATCATGGCCTAACTAGACTCAAAAGATTCGTCTCGTAATTTACAATTAAACTGTATAATTAATTATTTTTTTTATCTACATTTAATACTCTATACATATATCCAAAAATTTAATGTGACGAAGAGAGAGTGAAAAAACTTAGAATCTAAACAAGGCCGTAGACCTTCACTTTTTTACCCGGGCATCGCCATTTTTGCAATGCTGCAGATTCCAGTAGCGAGAGAGGTGAGGTGGATCTGCGTCGCCGTCTTGCGTCTTGTGTGCGATCCGTTTTGTCGCCGACGAGACGACGGCCCGGGCTTCCATTGGAAGCGAAGAGATAGCGTGGGCCCAACCGGAACAGCCCAGTATTCCGTTCGGTTCCTTCCGAAAATACCAGCACCACAAGGAACAGGAAAACACACACACTGCCGTTTCCGAATGGCCACAGCCGTGCTCCGCCGCCCACTGCTCGCCGCGCTCCTCCCCGGCGGCGCCGGGGCGTCCGGGCCTTCCTCCCGGTTCCGTCTCCGGCGACGTAGGTCCCCGCCTCCTTCGCGCGCGGTGTCTTCCGACTCCCCCAAACCCGTCGCCTCCACCTCCTCTTCCGCCGGCGGCGACAGCCCCGAGGAGGAGCCGCCTGTCCTGCCGCTCCTCCAGGAGCTCGCGGTAAGACGACGTGCTTCCTCCAGTGTCTAGTAGACGCTGCTATCTGTTCAAAGCCCTAGCTTTTGACTGTTTCCGTGCCATGCGGCTGGTAATTTGGTTGGTTGCAGGATTGCTTGGCTCTTCCGCCTAAGTTCCTCGCTCAGCTCCCGCGCGACCTTCGTCTCGACGTAAGTGTCTCATCGTTTTGTTTTAACATCCCCCTGCTTATGCTTGTTCCCACATTTGTTACCAAAGTGGAAAAATTCCATTCAGAATATTATGCCCTCTATTAGTGAAAGTATCACTAGTAGCATAGATACTTCAGTAAGCAGTATGCATCACACAACGCCACACTGAAATCCTACTCTGGGAAAATATATTTTGTTATAACAGCACTTTTTCCCCCTTTGTTGAAGCTCAATGATTCCGCGTTTGATCTATCCAATGGGCCAGTCCTTGATGAGGTAGGCACCAAACAACTCAGCATTCAGCAATTGGATATATGCTAGAGGTTTCAGTGCAACGGTGCTACCACGCGCGCTTACAATGCTCATTTCTTTGCGGAGACATAGTGTGGCCAAGAAGTGGGAGATCTGCTCCTGAACCTGGCAAAAGCATGGGAGTTGGCTGATACATCAACATCAAATAGCATTGCCAAGCAGCTGCCGTCAATGGAACCCTACTTAACGCGCAGCGCCAAATCAGGCATGGACTGCATCCATATGATGCTGTCACTTGTCAACATTCAGTCCTCGATTGATTGATTGATTGAAGGTTGCGTCCCTTGCTGTTTGCTTTACATAGTGTAGCGTTTGGAAAGCGGCTGGTGTCAGCTGGAAGGAGGTTTCAGTCAATGGGGCAGTACGGCCAGGGAGAACTCAAGAAGGTTAGCTACTTGCTCACGCTCTAACCATCAGTTGTGGTCGACCTTATTCCTGGCTAACGACCTTATTCCTTGTCGATGCTATGAGTGGGATCAGAGATCAAAATGGTTCCACATACCTTTACAAATCCTGTATGCTCTGACCTTAGCATATGATTTATATAAAGTTCAGGTCAGCAATCACCTGCCGTAGTTTTGCTAAAATAATGGTTCCACATAAACATTTTTTTTGTAAAAAAGTTTTATTCTAGCATGACAAATATGTCCACTACTTACAGCAAGGCATTTTTTTTTCTCGGCATCATTGCTAACTTACCTTGTATCGATTATTGTCAAGAGATTAAACCACAGGGCATGTACAAATGTAACATGCTTTTGTAGTACTTCTGTAGATTGCTGAAACAATGATCAAGAATGGTAAGCTACTATCGACACGCCCAGTGGTTCAATCTGATGTTCAGGCTATGAAAGAAAAAAGGAGACTTAAGGTAATAAGCTTCTAAGCACTTTAATGACCCTTATGTGAATTGTGAACATGGTTTAAATCTCGTCATTTGCTCCTGCCAGTTTGGAGAACTTGAGTTCGAAGTGACTGCTGAAAGTGCCAATATCGGTGCTGCAGTAGCGGCAATTTTTGGGTAACATTCAGACTCCCGCAAAATTTCTTATTCTGAAAGTATAATTTGGATTTCACTAGATTGATATTGGTCAATTCTCAAGTATACATAGTTTGTGGGACGCTTGGTATGATGTTGATGCTTCACTTCACGTGGCTACATAGTTTATGCCAACATGATTCGTGATTCGTCGTCGAAAGATTCTCCTAAGTTAGTTAACACCATTTATCAAATGGATAACCTAGCGGTGCCCTTGATTGTAGAGACACACCACACTACAATTTTTTTCTTCTATTTTCTTGTCACGGGGTAGAGGGTAGAAATAGAACTGCGCCCCTGGCGACTGGCGTGGAAACGAGGTTCAAACCCTGGTCAGCCAGTCACATTCTTTGTCTAAAGAATTCACCTCCACATACTTTGCAATTTTGCATTATCATTGGAATGCCCTACTGGCTGGTTTAGTGCATCTGTGATATTAGGAAGTAAATACATCTGATCTGACACTTGTTTCTTGATCCAGATTCATCTCATGGCAACTAGCACAAGGCGTGCAAAATGTTCCTGACAGTACAATGCAATACGCAAATGACAAGGTAATAAAACATAGCTAACCTGAATATTTATAAAGTTCAGTCTACTTGTGAGTTCTATTGACCTTCCAGCTAACTTCTCCCATACCCTTTTCTTCCAAAAACAGTCACTCAAGACCGCACTGCTTGTTCTTGGCTATACATCTACCGGCCTATCCTTATTCGCGGCTTTTGGGCTGCTGTTGCTAGCCCAACAGATTAACTCTGAGAACAAATCGGAGTAACTGACAGACACTTGCTGAAGTTGTGGACCTCATGCCATGCCTTTCTATGCTACAATAAGGCAGTTCATAGCGAATTGGCATGTGAATAGCTATACTTTTGACACTGAAACCATGTGTATGCAATGTTATGTACAAAAATAGAGAGCCAGTTGTCTGTGATTACGAATAATCGGTGAAGATCCTGAAGCAAACATGGAAGTCAGCTTGGGACTGACTGAAGAACAAATTGTTAATGAACACAACAGGTCAACAGGGAACTGCTTGTACTCAAAATTTTGCTTTCAGAATGTGGTACTGCTGTTACTCAAAACTGTAAAATTTTGTTTTTTTACCATCATAATTACTTATAATGAATGAGTAAGAGCATGATATATTCTGCATAGTTTTTAGCGAGGAAGAGCATGATCTTTCCTATGAATCTGCAAGCTCAAAAACAAGAAACCAGGAAACAAGAGTTGACGGTATCTTTTTTTAATCTAGAGCTTAGTACCACGTATCTTTAATTATGTTCCGCGTGAAATCTCTTTCTTTTTTATATTATTGTACTGAAAAAAAGAAAGAAAATTCTCTATACGAATCTCAGACTGATCTGCCATGGTGGCTAATCCCAATAATTTGGGAAGCCCAAATCCAGAGCGGGCCCAGCCCAGAAAATTCTCTATACGAATCTCAGACTGATCTGCCATGGTGGCTAATCCCAATAATTTGGGAAGCCCAAGTCCAGAGCGGGCCCAGCCCAGTTCATCCTCCACCTGCTCCGCCGGCCGCTCTTCTTCTCCCCTCCCTATCCCCGGGGACCTCACAGGGTCTCAGCCACATCCTCCTCCACTGCGCCTCTCCATTGCTCCGTTCCATCGCATCTACCACGCCCAAACCCCTGCTCCCCCAGGAAGATGGCTTCCCCCACCCAGGGCCAGGTCATCACCTGCAAAGGTAACCTTCTTGATCTTGTCTTCTCTAGCTGCTTCGCATCGGTGGTGGTACTAGTTTCCTGGTGGTGGTGGTGGTGGTGGTGTTCGTATACGGCGTTCGATTTGATCTGGCGTGGGAGGTTCATGGCTGGCCTGTGCGTGCAGCGGCGGTGGCGTACGAGCCGAACAAGCCACTCGTGATCGAGGACGTGCAGGTGGCGCCGCCGCAGGCCGGCGAGGTCCGCGTCAAGATCCTCTTCACCGCGCTCTGCCACACCGACCACTACACCTGGAGCGGCAAGGTATTGTCTTTTTTCCTCCAACTCACTCATACTCGCTTGGTTTTTTCTTCCAATCTAGGGTTCTTGGAATTCTATGAACCAGTCACTCGCATGGGTGTGGTAGCCATAGTGGCAAATGGCAATCCTGACGCTGATGGACAGTCGCTGTTCTGATGCAATTCGGCATTATTCTTATTTTGTCACTTCATCTTGTGGCTATGTTCCTAGAATTTTATAGACTGGTTGATAAAAAAAATAATGTTCCTAAACAAATACAAGGATTTGATGGCGCACTGTAAGATTTTTTCCTACTTCCCCTTGCTAACCGGGGATGGTGTCATTGGCGGTAAGCTAAGGTGGCGTTTGGATGCAGGGTGGGTTAGGGATATGGCAACGTATCAAGTGTGTAAACTTGGAAACTACCAATCAGGACCACTAGATGCTGATCCAATGAATGGGGTGAGAGGTGGGATTTTTTTGCGCTTAAGCCCCCCACCCGCCGTTTTTTTTTTTGCTTAAGCCCCCTCACCCCATCCATTGGATCAGCATCCAGTGGTCCTGATTGGTAGTTTCCAAGTTTGCACTGGTTGGTTGGTTTGCACATGATATGTTACCTAGGGATATGGATATGAGGTGGGTTATAATTTGGTGGGTTTGGGATGGAGATAGAAGATTCTATACCATTCCTTTGTTTGGATGGACTAGTTTGGGTTAGGGATAAGATTAACAAAAATAAAAAAGAAAAACAAAAATAAAGAAAATAACTACATCTCTGAGCAAAGCTCGTCGCTGCCATCTCCTTGCTTCCACAAGCTGTTGGGTGGTGAAGCATGCGGATGGAGGCCAGGATGCAACCAGCAGCAAACCATAATGGGCTCTGCACTACCGCAGTCTGTCCTGGAGCTCCCTTGACTCCATGGCGTCCACAGGATGGGAGGGAGAAGCAGCTGCTGTGACGAACTGGATCTCAGTTCTCGCAAAGCAGCCACGGAAGGACGCGAGGTGCCGCTAATCCACCGGATCTCCTGCGATGCTGGGCCGGCCCAGGCGCACCTCGCTGCAGAAGTGGGCGGCGCGGCGGAGGAGACAGAGAAGCGGAGGCGGCGACTCTGCGGAGCCGCGCGATTCAACATCCGCACGCCTTCGGCTTGGGGGAGTGCCTAGCCGGGATGCAGGTCGCCGGCGCAGGCTGCTGGGACCGGTGGAGCCGGCCTGGCGGCGTTCCTTGCGGGGGAGCAGGACGGGTTCTTGGCGGGCGGCGAGGTCGGGGTCAGCTGTCGACGGCTGCACAAGCTCCTATCCAGGTCATAACCCACCTCTCTCGATGGGATAGGATCTCTGGGAAATGAGGTCTGCATTTCCCTATCCTCTTTCCTATCTATTTCCCTTTCCCACAACCCAAACAGAGGATATAATTTCCACCCTATCTCATATCCCTATCCCAACCTCCATATCCCACAATCCAAACACCACCTAAGAATATTGCTGAAACTTGGTATTGTTAGTTAGACGCATGCTGTGCAGTTGCAGATATATTTATTTATAGGGTGTTTGGTTCGAGGAATGGGTTAGTCCATCATCTTTTCACTCCTCACTTTTTTGTTTGGTTTGTGGAATAGAATGGGTTGATGCATCACATCATTCCTTACAAGCTAATAATTAGTGCTAGTGTGAGGAATGGAATCATTCAACCAAATTTGATGAATGGACTCATGATTCACCAGCTCATCTAGAGCGATTTGATTCCTTAAACCAAACACACCTAGTTGACCATGTGGTCCTGTCAGAATGCTAGAATGATATTAATACTTCCATTTTCTATGCAGGATCCTGAGGGTCTCTTTCCTTGCATTCTTGGCCACGAAGCTGCCGGGTAATAATCATATATATTTGCTTCAGTTTCATACATGAAGTAACTCATTGTTGGGCTGTGATGGACAAATTTTCTTTTGCTTGTGTTAGTAGAGTTGTGGAAAGTGTCGGCGAAGGAGTAACTGAGGTGCAGCCTGGGGATCATGTCATTCCTTGTTACCAGGCAGAATGCAAAGAGTGCAAGTTTTGCAAGAGCGGAAAGACCAACCTCTGTGGTAAGGTTCGTGGTGCCACTGGCGTGGGTGTCATGATGAATGATATGAAGAGCAGGTTCTCTGTAAATGGAAAGCCCATTTACCATTTCATGGGGACATCAACATTCAGCCAGTACACTGTGGTGCATGATGTCAGTGTTGCAAAGATCAGCCCACAGGCACCCCTAGATAAAGTCTGCCTGCTCGGTTGTGGTGTTCCTACTGGTATGTTCTTTTCATATATGTTTACTGGCTTTTATGTTTAGGATATAAATTGCTAATTCAGTCTACATATTTGTCTGCTCACACACTGCATTCTTTTGAGGATTCCTTGATCCTCAGGACAGTTATCCTGTCATACAGATTGTTGTGTGGCTTAGTGCTAAGTAACTTTTCATGTGATACTTTTATATTTGTCTGCCTCAGTGTATTGCTGTATACTCGTATCACTACCAGCGTTTTATTTTCTCATTGTTTGTGCCTAAACTGCAATAGTTAGCACCAATGTTTTCTTAACATACTGAATCACCAAGATGTTCTTACATCTGTTTATGATCTATGCAACTAGCAAAAGGTTAGTGGTTTTGATCTCATGCAGAAGCTTGCACGCCATTTCTGTTTGTGATGACGTAAATCCCTATTTTTTAGTCTGTGAAATGAATTAATTGTGAATTACCATACTGCTGCTACACTGATTGAACTACTGAGTACTGACATGTTTAGCAGCTTAGCACTTTTACATATTTTCTCATTATCCTCTAAATGTTTTCCAATAATAAGTGGTATTTAGTTTGTGAGTTTGTCCATACATCTAACAAAGTACAATCATCCAGGTCTTGGAGCAGTGTGGAATACTGCAAAGGTTGAAGCTGGCTCTATTGTTGCTGTTTTTGGCCTTGGCACAGTTGGACTTGCAGTAAGTTTCTCTTATTAGGTCATTCTCATAAACCTGAGTTAGTGAATAGGATTTGACTTCTGAGTTTCTCTTTTAGGTTGCTGAGGGTGCAAAAGCTGCTGGTGCTTCTCGAATTATTGGCATTGACATTGACAATAAAAAGTTTGACGTTGGTATGGTTTATATCCTTGCAATTCTGTTCATCGACCCTCTATTCTCCTCTTGCGTTGGTTTTTGTTTATCAGCTGGTGAAATGGGCAAATCCAATTTCCTTTGTTTCCAATGTATTTGAAGTGTCCATTCTCTTGTGCAAGTTGTGGAGCCTGTTAATAAATTGAGACTACTAAGTTTTGTTGCTTTTTGTTACAAGTGCCCACCTTTATCTAATGTGGGACAGAAAATCTCCAAAGTTATGTTTTGTAGGCTAAACCTAATAATTTCTACCATGTAAGCAGTATATCTACAGCCCCAGCTAATAGAAGTTCAAAAGCATATTGTTTATGAAGTGCAGGAAAACTTTGATGCAACAACTGTAGTTACTGAATCTGAGTGACTTTTGAGTTCTGAATTTCCTGAACCTGATTTTTCTTTCCTCATGTATTTTTTTGACAACATTCTTCGTGTTAATGTATTCCCAATGGTCAAAGGTACATTTTGGGGATATTGTCAATTCCCAAAACAATCCATGAGTGCAAATGTACAAACTTGATACAAGCAGTTGGGGTAGCTTCTTAGTCCAAATTGCCTTTTGGTACAGGATGTGCAGTTACTTGTGCCTCTCTAATCTTTGTCTTACTGTTTGCAGCAAAGAAATTTGGAGTTACAGAATTTGTTAACCCAAAAGACCATGACAAACCGATACAGCAGGTCTTAGTTGATCTTACAGATGGTGGCGTGGATTACAGTTTTGAATGCATTGGAAATGTTTCAGTTATGAGGGCTGCACTGGAATGCTGCCACAAGGTAAGCATTCCCATTGCAATATCTGGGTGTTGCTGCTTATGTCTGAATTGTATCTTGTTTATTCAGCCATTTGAGAGTACTATATCCTTCCCTTTCACTTATTTTTGGGGTGCACACCTGTAGGGCTGGGGAACCTCTGTCATCGTTGGTGTCGCTGCTTCTGGCCAGGAGATTGCCACACGGCCATTCCAGCTCGTTACTGGCCGTGTCTGGAAGGGAACAGCTTTCGGTGGCTTCAAGAGCCGAACCCAGGTCCCATGGCTTGTTGATAAGTACATGAACAAGGTACGGCACTATCATGAACACTTGCCAAATCAAGTGTTGGATGAAAATTTTTGTTCTCCGCTCAACCAAAATTTGTGCTGTCTGCAGGAAATTAAGGTGGACGAGTACATTACCCACAACATGAACCTGGCTGACATCAACGAAGCTTTCCACCTGCTGCACGACGGTGGCTGTCTGCGTTGTGTGCTGGCAATGCAAATTTGAAATTCCTAAGCAAAGCCGTTTGCATATATGTCGGTAGAGACCGTCTTTTGGAACTAGAACTCCTTTTGCCTCGTTTGGCCTGTTGGAACTAGAACTCAGTTTGGCCTGGAGACACTCTGAATGGAAACCCACTGTTATAATAATATGTTGTGTTCGATGACTGATGATGGTTACTGCTGTGTGCTAGGTATGTGGTACTTGTTGATCTGTATCACGGTTGCAAATAAGTACTATTTCAAAAATAATTTTATGCGTGTCAAATTTCCTTGCATGGATAACTAGTTAATGCGTGTCAAATTTCTAAAATAATTTTATGCGTGTCAAATTTCCTTGAATGGCATCAAGCATCGCTCATTTTATCTAGCTTAGCCCAAATGAGACTTGTAAAACACGGTTGACCACATCTATTTGCTACAGTATAGCTAGCATTTGCAGCGGTAGCGGCAGCCGCGACTGCTGCAATAAGCGCAACCGATTAGGCCCAATCAGGGGAAGATGTTTACCATGAAGTACGATACAAATTTACAGTATACGATGAAGGGCGGAGTACAATGATACAGGTACACTGACACAACATTCCCCTCTGGTAACTAAATAGCGTTACAACCAAACTAAACCCTGGTGTAAAAAATTCTTCTGAATGCCATGAAGTTGGAAAAAATTACAAAAATGGCACTTGAAAGATTGCTCCTTGATTACGATGACACTCGGCACCGCTGCATAGAATTTCTTTCCTATCCCTATTCACCTGACCACCTCACAAGAGTCCTGATTTCCATGCTTCTCCTCGGCTTTAACTCCGTTGCCTGCTAATTAGAATTGAAAAAAAAAACATAAACCATTACCAGACCAGAAAAATCGGATCAAAACAATGCTACCTAAGTATAGGACAATGTGGCAAGTTGCATCACAGTCCAGTTTGCCGAGCACTACGGAGGTGTTTGGTTTAACACGCTTTTTCACTCACAATTTTGGTTGGCTCAAGGAATGGAATAGATTGAAACATTCCCACCCCATCTCTCACTAGCACATGGTTAACTTAATAATTAGGAAGAGGTTCATCCTACCATAATTCATGGGATGACCATTCCATTCTAGATGGGGTTCCTCGAATAAACATCATATACATAACTAGAGTTATTCAGTCTTCTGTGACATTAGACTAAAATGAAACTTCTCCCTGCCGTTGACCTAACACACTTTCATACAGAAACTAGGGTCAGAGACTGAAACATGAAACAACAGAACAGACAACTACATATCCGTACAACATTGAAAGCATTCTTAATGTTCAGTCTTTCTTTCCTTGTGGCTATAAAACACTCCCTGTTTCTTAATATTAAGCCTAACCACAGAGTAGAAATAAATAAACTCGTTGGAAATAGCATATTGGGTCATATAAGTATGATTCAGTGATGCCAGAGTTTGTAGAAATGTTGATTCATGTTGACCAATTAAAATAAGCTACTAGGTCAGTTCAACAGCAAGATGCATGCATTTGTAATTTTACAGTAATTGTTTGAACATATGCAAATATTAATCACTTAACCAACATTAAGTGCAACGACATGATCGTTCGAGTTCTAATATGCAGGATAAGAACAAGTCAAACGGCAGATGGAGGCTGTGTATGAAGTGTTAAGAATTTGAGTGCTTACAAATCCGAACCCGCAATTTCCTCTCGCCAGTAGATGGCTTCTTCTTCATGTAGCAGCTATTCCAATCACCTCCATCTTGCGAATAATAATCCATCGGGTAGTCACCACCAAAATCGCCACCACTGCAGTTGCAGTTTCCACAAGTTCCTGATCCTGAACAACACCCACTACCACATTCCCTACTCCCCTTCTCCCACCACCCAGGGACATAGCCCAGTGCAACATCAAACTCGAAGGTTGTCAGCACTGGCTTCTTGAAACCCTCCCCCCAATCGATGGACAAGCGAGGACAAGCAATTTGCACCCAAGCATCAATCGAATCTCCAAACAGCTCCATCCTCGCCGGGGAAAGCTCCGACATGAGCACCACTGTGTGCTCCAACTCTTTCTCCTCCAGATGCTCTACCACCCTGTCGAGAACCTTCGTGCTCCCCTGCCTTCCCAGGGTGCCGAGTATGACTCCCCAGTTCTTGGCCTTCCTCGCCGCCAACACCGCCACTTTCCTCGCCTGCTTCATGCCAACATGGTCATACTCCTCCAGCACGAGAACCCCAAGAAATGGGTCGAAACGGTAGGCCTTCACCCCGGGATTGGCGATCATAAACGCCTCGAGGTGGAACCTCCCGTCGGCGACGAACACCACCGCGCCCACCTCCTCCGATTTCTTGAGCGTCGGGGCGGTGCACCCCAGAATCTCGCCAGCGGAGAGCGGCTTCGCCTGCGGCACGACGATGTCGCGGTAGCCCTCTTTCGTGAGCATCTCGCGCGCGGCGTGCACCGCGGCGATGAACTGCACGGTCCCGGCGATGGCGAGGCGGGGCGCGGCGGCGGGGTCCGGGAAGGCGTTGCGGACGGCAGCGGCGAGGCGAGCGGCGTCGACGCGGATCTCGACGAAGACGTAAAGCACAGGGAGGAGGGAGGACGTGACGGGGACGAGGCAGGAGTGGCCGTAGTGGACGAGGACGTCGGCGGCGAGCGCCGTGGCGGGGCGGTCGGCGAGGCAGCAGGCCCCGTAGGTGGCGTCGGCGAGGACGAGGACGTCGTTGGCGGGGTCGGGCTCGAGGTAGGGCGCGAGGAGGTGCGAGAGCGGGAGCGCGAAGAGGAGCAGGCCCTCGGGGAGCTGCAGCGCAACGCGGCGGGCGCCCGCGGACCGTATGCGGTGCGCCGTCTTGGGGAGCTCGAAGTTGTAGCTGGCCGGGAGGAGGGACGTGGCGGCGGTGGCCAGGGTCGGGTCGGAGAGGATGGAGGGCGGGATCGGGGTGTGCACGAAGCGCTTCGGCGGGTTGCCCGGCCTCTTGCTCCTCCTGGTGGGGCTCGGCGGTGATGGCTCCGCCGCCGTTAGGGCAAGCGAGGTGGACGCGTCGCCGGCGTCCATGGCGGCGGCGCGCGGGTGGGAAAGGCTGACGAGGGTTTAGTTAGTCGCCGGCGGGTGTCTTTTCAGCAAAACAAGACGACGAAGCGAGGTCAGACAAGTGGGCCCCGGACAGATACGGCCCGGCCCAATAGTTGCCACCTCATTGGCCCGGCCCACACACGCGAGTCGCTATCGAGTGGCGTGGCCGCTGCCCAGCCAGCCAGCCCGCCCGGAAAAGGTGCAGCCTCGTCAGAGTGGTGGGCCAGACCGCTTCGCCCAATCCAGCGTCGTCGTCGTCGTTGTCGTCTTCCAGCTGAGCTCGTGGTGTCTCCGCGCCTGGCAATTCCGTGGCCATTATCCACTCCTCGTCTCCTCGGCAGAAGAAATTTTCCAATTTGGCCTTGGAAAAGCGGCGACCCCAGAAAACGGGAGGCCCCCGCCCTCTCCAGTCTCCATTCCATTCGAAAAGCCATCGCCGGGCGAACAAAAAGGGGGAGATCGATGGCGACGTGCTCTCGCCCGCTCTTCGTCTCCGACTCCGCGTCCTCCGCCTCACCGTCGCGGGCGTCCCTTCGCCGCCTTCACACGGTGATCACACCCCGCTTGTTGTCTCTGCCACCCATCCTTCCTTCCTTCTTGGTATATACTTCATGAAAGCAAATTGTGTTCCGGGTGGCCGGGTGCGGCGTGCGGGTGGGTTCTGGTTGAGGGGCTACCTACGGACAGCTACTGTGGGCCGTGTTCCTGTTGATTGCTTCTACTGTGGCCTTGTTGATACTTCAATTCCTGAGTGAACCTTTGCTGACTGAACTGCAGGTGGCAGTAGTATCGATATGGGAACCCCTGCCCCGCACACCACTGCGGGCTGCACCCTGCCGTTTCGCCCAAACGAAGCAATGCTCAAGGAGATCCACCGAGTGTTTCGCGAGTGGGCCATCCGTGTCCAGATTGACGCGGCCAATAAGGAAAATGCTGTCTCGTTACTCTTCACTGATGATCGTCTTGCACGGCAACCTCAGCCGGTGCTACAAGGCCATGAGCGCGCTGCGGCCGGATGGGGCATCCAGGCACTTCATGTCTGCTGGTTTCGGACGCGTTGTTTTAGGGGTGGTGCTGGTGATGTCCATCTCGGCAGCTTCTTATACAGCACCTGCGTGTAAGTGTTCCAGCATCGGTACAACCATGTGGCTTTTTATCATCTCTCCTCTTTCTTTCTTATGTCTGCTGACGCCTTTGTGTGTTTGGTTGTTGGGCGATCCAAGCATCGGCGCTTACAGAGGAAAACTTGCTTTTCCTGGAGGCTTGGCGTGCGGTTGATCGAGCATACTATGACAAATCTTTCAATGGACAAAGTTGATTTAGATACCGTGAAAATGCCCTTCGCAATGAACCGATGAACACAAGGGAAGAGACATGTATGATTCTTGCATATTGCCTCAACTTTGCCTTTCATAACTAGAACCAGAACCTGGCCTTTCATACATCACAACCACACTTCTGTCGTGGTCAGAATAACTGCATGAGGCATTTGACAGTCATTTAATATAGTGTCTCAAATACATTTGTCACACACCAAGGACAAGTTTAAGTGTTTAAAGGAAACCACCATCGCATATTGCCCCAAACTTTTCTATCACAGACAGATACTACAATGTGTCTCCTATGGTAGGAGCTAAATTTCCAAACTGCAGTGTTAGTATATTGCTAATTATCTATGGGAATTCTATGATCCAGAACTCAGGTGCATTGCAGATTTGTGTGAAAGCAAACCATCACACTGTACAATTTTTATTCCATATGATCATTTTGCTTAATCAATACTGAATTTCAGATGCAGCAATCAAGAAAATGCTTTCAACATTGGATGACCCATTTACTCGTTTCTTGGAACCTGAGAAATTGAAGGGCTTGCGGGTATAAAACTCGATCATTGATTCCCACAAAAGCCTTTGATCCAACTAGTTAGTGTAATCTGTCTCACAAAGCAGGTCATTATCTTTTCTGAAGGAAGTCTGGTACGCAAGGCGCACTCACAGGTGTAGGTTTGTCGATTGGTTACCCAATGGCAATTAATGGATCGCCTTCAGGAGTTGCTGTCATGACAGCCACCCCTGGTGGTCCTGCAGAAAAGGCGGGCATTCTTCCTGGAGACATCATTTTGGCAATTGATGACAGAAGCACTGAAGACATGGATATATATGATGCTGCAGAACGCTTACAGTAAGGCCAACAATCATTACTACGTAAATATAATCAGTGGCTAAAATGCAGTGTTACAAAGAAACAGATAATTATATACTTGCATTCCCTAGTTTTGGTTGCCTTAGGTGGACTTTTTCTTGATATTCTTAATAGAGTACTCTTCTTAATAAGAGGTGATGTTCTTCTGTCAACTGATTTGCTAGGGGCCCTGAAGGAAGTTCAGTAGATTTGTCTATTCGTAGTGGGACCAATACCAGGCATGTTGTTCTGAAGTAAGCCAATCATACAATCCCCTTTTACTTAGTGAGAACAGAAGGGTAAAACCCATTTACTGAAAACTAGCCATTAAGTATTCCATCCTTTTTTTATTATTTTCAGGAGACAAACAGTCACTTTAAACCCAGTGAGGTCGAGGATGTGTGAGATTCCAGGTTCCAAAGATAGCTCAAAGATCGGTTACATCAAATTGACAACATTTAACCAAAATGCTGCAGGTTTGCCACTTTGTGAAAGTTATAATGTCATTGTGAAGCATCATGATGTTTTTCAGATGCTAAGTAGTGCTGAAGTGCTGATTATGTCAATTCATTATCGTCCTACAGAATCTGTTAAGGAAGCCATTAAGACATTAAGGGACAACAATGTTAAATCCTTTGTGTTGGATCTGCGGAATAACAGGTTTGGGACTGCAGAAATTGGGATATATGTTGATGTCTAAATGTTTTCTTTATTGAAATTTTAACGTGGTTATGTCTTATGCAGTGGTGGCCTTTTTCCTGAAGGAATTCAAATTGCAAAGATATGGTAAGCTTGTTTAAACCGCAAATTGTTTCATGGTATGTGAGCTTTATCCATGTCTGGTGGCCTACTTAACTGTGCATATGTCCTGGTGCACCTGGAAAAATCACTGGATTACTAATTGGCCTTCTAAAAGAGAACTTTTAATGGTACCTTCTACTCAAACAGACGGGCTGGAATATAGACTAGATCTGATCATTGAACTTTCCAGGCCAGTACCTTTTGCCTGAATAATTTGTTTATGAGGTTTTCCTATGCAATTGCTTACTAAACAGGGGAGCACTCAGATCTAACCATTGGCAACCTAATCTCCCCCTGATTCTTCCTGATTGTCGCCATTGTTGGAAACTTGTTTGTCTCTATTGTTGCATACTCAGTAGTCAGTAACTCTCAAGTTTCAAGATGCCAAGACCTTTTGGGGTGCCACTCTATGGTCCTAACTCAGTCACCATACGTCTTCTCTGATGAAGGCAGCAATGGTGCTGTGCTACATCATTCTGATGGATAGGCTCCATTAGTCCATTGAAACCTGTGTCAGTAACTGAATGGAACTTCCAATTGTTATTGATAATTAAGTGTTCAATTTTTTTATCAACGATGAGTCGACACCTTACCGTACATTATGACAAAAGAAGATAATGTGATATCCACGTTCTTGTTCGTATTAAGCACAAATTGGAAAAGATTCATCAACAGAAGTGCAAAATCAATCTCTACGGTATTTTTAGAGCAATTACTCCTGGTTTGGACGTTCAAGGAGAAAATCAAGGAAGGAGAAAATCAAGGGAGGCAAAGCCAAAGAATGCTTTCCTAGAAACATAGAAATTCTGTTCTTTCTTTTTTTTTCTTGTTTATTGAAAGATTACACCCTCCAACAGATCATACTCCTCCTTATCACCATGCAGGGTACATAAAAGTTCTAACAAATCTAGTCCATAATCAGAAGAAGTGAATGGTCTATATTCAGTAGATTAAAAAAGCTCTTATATAAACTTATCTTCTGCCAATCACCTTTGTATAGGTTGTGCATGCTGTCGCAATATATCTAGCGACTCATCACTCAGTAGCCTTGCAATAAATAACAACTGCTATATAAGTTAATTAAACTTTTAAAAATTTAACTGATATATCTAAGCTGATTGAAGTATATTAACTTTTACTCCTGCTTTACCAGGATGGACAAGGGTGTTATTGTATATATATGTGATAGCCAAGGTGTTCGTGACATTTATGAGGCAGATGGAGCTGATACGATTGCTGCATCTGAACCTTTGGTTGTGCTGGTATGACCTAGCGTTGCTTAAAGAAAACAATGACTGATAGATTTAGTTAATCTTTACCTGGATTGTTGCATTTTCGTGTCATTCTGCTTTCCTTAATTTGCAGTTTCTTAGGTTAGTACACATCAAATGATACCACTTTTAAACTTGTTAGGTAAATAAAGGAACTGCGAGTGCGAGTGAGATCCTTGCTGGAGCACTGAAAGACAATAAAAGGGCAGTCGTATATGGGGAACCAACATATGGAAAAGGGTATTGCTTTCCCCTCCCCCTATCATGATCTCCTTGTTCTTATTCTGAATGTGTGTTGTCTCACTCCCATTACCTGCGGACATTCAGGAAGATTCAGTCAGTTTTTGGATTATCTGATGGATCTGGCTTAGCTGTAACTGTAGCACGCTATGAAACTCCTGCGCATACCGACATTGACAAGGTAAGCATAGCCATTTGCTAGTCGGTGGTTAGGGGAAAAAAAAGGACAAACAAACCAATTCTTTGTGTTAAAAAACAGAATCTGATCACTTATAATTTTAGCTGTTTCTGAGTAGTTGTGAATGATGTTTTTTTTTTAGGTTGGTGTGATTCCAGACCGACCACTGCCAACGTCGTTCCCTACAGATGAAGATGGCTTCTGCAGCTGCCTTAAGGATTCGACGGCTGCTTGCAATCTGAATGCTGCTCAGCTGTTTGCAAGATCATGACCAGCCCCCCTTCACTCAGCATTTTGGGTCTTATGGAGTGTACAGATAAGCATGGTGTTTCCTAGGAGCTGCTTGTGCGTGGTGTGTGGGTAGTTCAGCATCTATAATTCATTTCATTAGCATTGATTTTTGTTCCAGTTTTATCGCCTCCGAAATGGAAGTATTGCTTCTGGTCGAAGTCACGGTCGTGTTGAACAGATCCTTACTGCAACAATTTTGAATGGAAGCACTGAGGAAACCTGCAAATTGTTTTCATTGTCAGTCATTTTATGCATCAGTGTTACCGAATACATCTCACTGGACCAAGCCATTCGTGCTGGTTCGGACAAATTTTGGAAATTTTGGAAGAGCTTCGCTGAAAGCCAGTGTTGAAGCTAGAGTTGGAGACATGGGACTCTCGTAAAGCCTAGGGCGGTGAATAAATGAAATACTGACCAGACCCGTTTGAAACAGGTCCGGTCCTCAAAGCTCAAGTCATTTACCATCATGCCAGAAAGACAGGGAAACACGTCTCAACAATGAGCAAACAAAACTTGTAAAAAACTCAGGTGCAAAACTGTAATGTCATTAGCTCACGAGTTACAAATCACAAGGTTGTTGGATTACAGGACCCATGGCTATGATTCATTGTGAACCGTCTAGTTAAACTCAGCCTGGGTTTTTAAGATCATGCTCAATGCAGCTGTAATGAAGTTGGACATCGAAGAATCAGTAATCCGTCCAAGGACCTGGTGTCACTGGTCCACATTTTGTACACCATCACCGCCTGTAATGTGAGAACAAAGAAATTTGTGATAAATGGGTGACTGAGACCAAATGGCAAGGCAGACAAGCATTCAGTGGTGAATGCCAACAAAGGTAGTCAAATTTCTACTGCGTTATAGAATAGCATAAGAAGTCCACATCATGCAACAAATCATCAGCATTTACATAGTACATGGCAAACAGACTGTCCAGATATAAGTACATATATCCCACACAAGGGAAAACTCAATTTAAGATAAGTTACTAACATGTTTACCATTTGTCAGGAAGGCCAGCACATCTATTCCACCTTCGCAACTTTCCTTTGCTCAATTTGACCAGTCAAGTCACATTGCATCTCAGTCCAGCTGATTGGGACCAATGTACCACCTGAAGAAACACATGGGAAGCAACATTAACAAAATCTAGAATAATGGGAGCAGTTCCATGTATTCGTACAAACAAATTGCCTTTTGCACCCTTTCGTACCAGCTATACTTTGTGCTGAAACGACTCCAAGTTCATTCTTCGCCGTGGAAAGGTAATATGCCCTTGCATCACCAAGGGAAAGCTTTGACATCATTTAAGGATCCAAAGCCAGCCAAAAATTAACTACTCCAAACAAGGAAGATATTCAAAGCGAAAGTTTAAAGATTAAAAAAAATGATGACAGTTGAAGTAGGTAGATGTGGATAACCCAAGGGCAAGTGAACCTAACCAAGGATGATAACAACTTAACAAGAGAAGAAAACACAGATTATTTGCACTGCACCATTTGCCTTAATTAAGGATACAACCATAGCTTTAACAATGTCCCCAGGCCGATATGACTGGTACATATCCACCTTGTCAATTTCTGTTGCACGAACATCTTGCTGCCTGCAAGAAAAACAGGGGACATATATGAGAAACTTTCCCTGATAGATTGTCTATAAGTCTCTAAGATGAACAAGAGCATGGATCCAAGTATAGAATTCGGCAAGCAACTAAAGCAAATGTAGTGCAAGACATCAACTGGAAACAATAAAAGATGGAAGTGACACAAGGCAAAACAAAATCATGGGGAAGGCACCACCTTATCATGCCAGTGAACTTTTCTTTGATAGCCTTTGAGTCGACACACATGATATCTGCAGAGGCCATTCTAGCCATAACCTTTGTTACCTGCAAAAGTAACAGGTTTCAGGAATTAGCAGCTTAGAAACTTCTGCTTTTTAAATAAACCGTTGTGCCCATCTATGTTGGGTAACTTCCTTCAGCAAAGATGCCTGAAAAATACCACTGTGTGTCCATTATTACCCTATAAAACTACAGAAGTGATGGCTCAGACTGCCAGACACATGCATCGCTCCACCTCCAACCTGAACCAGGGGATGCGTGTGGCAATTGGAATCTCACACGAGCATGACCATTGAATGTTTCCACAGAAACAGGTAAATTGCAATTCTGTAAACCGATGTTCAGTATTGCTGAGGGATCTTAGCATCTTACTCGGGCAATGACGACGCTTCCCGGCTGCGGCACAGCTCCATGGGCCTTGTGCCCCACCACCTCCACCGTGGATCTCTGCAGCCCAATCGAACCAGCTCATCACACGCACCAACAAAAGGAACCCGTAAACCCTACGAAGCTAGCCCTACCTGGTCGTCGGAGGCAGGTGCGGGCGGCACGATGCGGCGGCGCCCGGTAACCGACGCGCGCACGGAGCGGCCGTCGGCGTAGGCGCCGCGTCCGGCCGCGAGGGTTAACGAGTTGCCGAGCAGCTCCCCTGGTGTGACCACGTCGCCGCCGCCGTCGTGGTCCATCGCGGTGGCCGCCATTGGTAGCTGGTGGCTGGGGTTTGGGGGCAACGCGGGGGAGGAGGGTTTTCGTTGCCTTCCTCCTCACTCGACTAATGATACTAGTCGTCAATGGACTTGACACTTGACAGCAATGGGTTTCCAGGCCCAAATTACAGATTAGGCCCATTTGTTTTCTTTTCATTATTTGGATAGAAAAAGTCCTCTTGTCATTCCTCAATACGCTCATAGTCCGAATTTCACCACTCCACTAGAAAACCGAGATGTTTATGCTCTCTCAATATTATTAAAACCGCTTGTTTTCTACCCTCGAACAAAACAAAGATGTTTATGGTCCCTCAATATTATTAAAATCGCTTGTTGTCTACCCTCGAACGGTTAAATCATAGTTTTGTTCAACGTGGCGCCATGTCATCTCTCCACCTTGTGAGTGGGTACCATGTCTTTGTCGCCTTCGCCCGTGCCCTACCCTTCCTTCCCTGCCCTAGCATTCGTTTAGCCTCTCGACAGCACCTACTAAAGCTTGCTCGCATTGCGTGGGGTAGAGTGGTCATTTCCATGGTGAGTCAACAAAACCATTCTTGTGATGGCATTCATATCTAACAAGAAATACAAGCGATAAATAGGAAAGAAGTAAACTCATACAAGATATATGGCATGTTTGGTTTTGAGGCAAGGATTATCTTGCCTTGCTAGCGAGGGTCAACATTACCTTGGTGGGTGAAGCTAGCCAAATTGGCTCTCCCATGACAGCAAGGTATTTTCTTGCTAGCACAAGTCTCAAGACAAGCTAGCCTCTTAAACAAACAGCTATTTATTTCCATTTTCTATAGCTAAGCAAGGTGAGGCAAGAAGGAGCAAAGGAACCAAACAGACTCAAAATTTGAATGAGAAAATTGGGTTGTGAATGAAGAACCCCGTGTAGTAGGGTAGGCCAAACCAAATGACATAAAAAGGAGAGAACAAGTGTAGATGCTATATAGTTTCTGACTAAACAATATCCATATGATGTAGTAATTATAGATATGCATAGCGTAGGTATTAAATTAGTCCATTAATCCATGCACCTGTATGAGCTAGAATCTTATGAGCTAATGAGCATGAACATTAGATGATCCTGTTTAATAGTTATATGCCAATATATATAGGCACAACTTATGGTTATTAAATATTTTTAAAAACAGCTGACGTTGATAACTTAAATGTAGGCTTGAGGTGATATTTCACTTTTAATTTTAATAAAGACGTACTACCTCCGTCCCCAAAAGAACACAATTCTAGTGCTGTGTCACATTTTAGTACCTTAAATTTGACTAATTATAGATAAAAAAGTATTCATGTTTATGATACCAAATAAAAACCATCAGATTAATTACGAAATGTATTTTCATAATAATAAATTAATTTAAAGACATAACTGTGAATATTATTCACTAAAAACTTGGTACATGAATCACTTTTCGTGGCACGCAGCCTATAGTTACATTCTTTTCAGGATAGAGGTAGTATGTGGTAATTTTGATATAAATTTAAAAGGTCACTTAGATTATACATCATGATGGTGGAACGGATAATCTGTATGTAAATTTAGTGGCTGATTTATACGTTTCATAATAGCTTGTATGGATAATTTTGACACAGATTTAGAATGTCATTTTATGTTATTTCTAGTAGAGGTGGACATGTTTTTAGAAAACATAACTAATCCAACAACTATTATTCAATGGTGGTTAGAGTCTATCAAATTAATAAAATCTTTGTAATCTCTCGAGTTTATACAGTTTTTTTTTCCTAGCACGTGTAGCGATGATTAACATGAAAATTGCATTAGAAGGCTCCAATAAGTAATAGTAAAAGAAAATTGGGTGTACAACCATACAACGTTGTCCCAAGGTAGGGCCGCCCATGCCAGAGAACATGAACTGAACACAGAACCACGACATCCACAAGACCATAACTATCATCACTTATAACGAAACTAAAAGATGCAATGAGAACAGGCTTAAGAACCAAGATTATTAACACAGGTACCACCTAACATTTAAGGAACTGAGCCGGCTGTATAGTTCACCTCTCCAACGCGAGCACTGTTTACAAACGAACTGCATCCAGTACAACACCTAGTCACAACAACATGATGCCCAGAATTCCGGCAAGAAACTTCCCTAAACCAGATTACACCAATCAGATGCATGAGAAATGAACCGCAATTTGCGAAAATTAGAGAGCATCTGCCAACCCCATCCTCATTGCTTCCGGGGAAGAAGCAGAAGGCAAAGAAAAAACACCTATACCCAAGGCACCATGCCCAAGGGTCACCACGAACTGTACACTAACATGAGGCACGAATCATCGAGAGGTGATGACAACCCCCGCAGCCTCAAACCCAAAGTCAACCGAAGCTAACAGCCTAACACTAGTTCATTGACTGATCAATGGCGCGGCAGGTGCCCATGC